AGAGGAAAATATCCGTGGAGGAGCTGGGCTCAGTCCCACTGGACCATCTGTGAGTTCATGAACAGACAAAAGATCATACAGTTTGACCAATCAGATTTTTAAAATTAAGTAGACTAAATGAACAGCTAAAAATGAGTTTTCTTTAACTGTTTTGTGTGTTTTGCAGGCAGGGTGAAGGCGGGGACGTGGCACTGATGAGGCATGACGGTAGAGGCTCCGAAGGATTCCTGGAGCACGTGTTCAAACACACGGCGAAGGAGGTGTTCGCCGTCGACGTGCAGGAAATCACATACAAAACCCTCAGGTCAGAGTAATGACAGATTAACGGTACATTACGACTCGGCCTGTCAAAACAAATTTTACTTGATGATAAAATTTGATCATTTTCCTGTAATTACAGCTGCAAGTTTGTAGATTTTTTTTTTTTTTTCTTTCTACTAGCTTCCCACACTTGGCGACTACAATTTCTACCCAGCCTTTGTAACAGAGGCCAGTTAATTTCATTGCCTTTAAGTTCTTAATCTACTTGTTGTATCATGTTTACAGGAATCGTGACTTCCAGGAAGTGACACTGGAGAAGGACGGGGAAACACTGCTGCAGTTTGCTGCCATCTATGGTTTCAGGAACATCCAGACGTTGGTGCACCGGATGAAGAAGGGCCGCCTGCCGTACCAGCTGGTGGAGGTGCTGTCCTGCCCTGGAGGTAAACCTCAGAGCTGCTGCTCTGGACCTTGTCCGCACGCAGCTGGATCTTAATAAATACATCGTAAAATATATTGTACACACATGATCATGGGTTTGGCATGTTGTTTTAAACATACCAAACCCAAAGGGGGGAGTGTAGCACAAAGCTAAAACCTATGTCAGCCAATCAGATTGCTTCAAAACAACCACGACTTCCTGTTAGGAATTAAGACATGGCACCAGCAGATTCATTTGTAAATTGGCATGTTGGGGCCATTTTTTAGATGGAGAGAAAAAAAAAACATTTCCACCAGAAAACTCAGAAGTTTTGAAATGAAGTTCATTAGTTTTCTAGAAAAATCTTTTAAACTTCTGGGTTTCAAAAGTCAACCATGTTCCACGTTTGAAACTGAACATTTCTAGAAATTAAAAATGTTCCACCTTTGAAACCTATAAATTTCACATTTCTTTTTCTAGAAAATTTGAGTTTTTTTGTAGCAAATCTTTGACTTTTCATGATTAGACATTTAGTTTAATCTTTAATCTTTTGAGATATCAGAATCATTTCTGATATCTCAAAATCGCGTTTTTTTTTTTTTTTTTTTTGCAGAAACGTACCATTATTTTGCTTGCAATCACTCCAATACGCTTTTGTACATTTGTGCAAACAGATATCTAGGTTGAACAAACCATTAACTTATTGAGAGATTTGCAGAAAAATGATTGAACAGTAAATTTCCATCATCACCAGTTTCCTTTTGTAAAGATGACAGATTTTATTATTAAATGACAGAAACAGAAATGTTATTTTGTGTTTGGCTAAGTTTTTTTACTCACAAGCACAAAAATACCCCTAATTCTACTCTTTAAAAAGGACTTGTACTTATTTGTGTTTACAGAATTCAAGTATATGAAGTTTGTTTAAATAATCGTTTTTCATGATACTAAACTGAGTTTTTAGGTGAATGAAAGGCCACACAAAAAAAATGAATAAAGAATGTTTTGTTTTTTAACCCCCATCTCGTCTCTGCTTCAGGGTGCCTGAGTGGCCGAGGTCAGGCCGAGAGCGAGGTGGGCGGCCGGGCGGATAAAGGCCTGGTTCAGCAGATGGAGGAGGTCTACGTTAGCCTGCCGGTCCGCCTACCAGAACTTAACCCCGTCCTGAACAAGCTGTATCAAGACTGGCTGCACGGCCCCGACTCGGATCAGGCCAGCAAGCTGCTGCACACAGAGTTCAAAGGGCAAAGCCAGAGCAACACACAGCCTCCACACATGGAGTGGTGAAAAAATAACACAGAAAAACTCGTTTTGCAATTCTGAACCAATGAAGAAGAGCAGGAAGTGGACCATGCAGCAGGAGAAAAAAAAATGTCATTCATTCTTTTAACCACAGGGGGGCGCTGTCGGCTTTAATAAACAGAAACCGTCCACAACCACTCGTGCTTTCCATTCCCACTCACTGCAGCAGCGCCGTCCGCATGTTGGAATCAGAGCTACCAGAGGAATCTGTGGTGCTGCAGCTGTTCTGGGAAAACGGGAACAGCTGGAAGAAGTTGATTTTCATCAGCATGAAAATCGCAATAAGGCCACATGTGGAACTCCCAAACCTACGGGAATGCTATGAGTTTTAATATATTCCAAATCTGTCTTTCCAGTATGGAAGCTGCTGTTTTTTATTTTAGTTTTAAAGCTGTTTGCTTTGTCGCTGTCATGACACAAAATGTGTGCAACATAAAGCTAACTATGCAACAGCATCTTATCTCTACATAGAGGAGGGAAGTGGGGGGGGGGGGTCAGGGTATGAAAAATAGTTATTTTAAGTGGTACTCATGTTTTTATTATGTTTTCTTCTAATTCCATACGCATTTTTTTTATTAAGTTATATGTGTTCATATTAAGCGACTAAGCATACCTGTGACATGTAAAAAACTAAAATATTCTCCAAACCAACGTGATTTTTTTCTGTTGCTGTTCTGATCAAAAAGAACATTTAAACATTGTAGTTTTTTTTTTTTTTTTAAAAGGTTGCCCACACAACTGTAAAAAGTCAAATTTTGTATCTAAAATTGAGGCATAAAATCATTTTTTTTTTTCTGGAAGTAAGTTGGCCTGAAATATGTTAATCGCAGGTCTTAAATTTGACTGACAGCACTATTTGATCTCGTATCCTATGTTTTTTTTTTATTATTCTTTTTGGACTTTTCTGTCAGGCAAGCGTATAAGTCGCACTAAGATATTGTGTTCTGTTACTCAACATGTGAGGCTTCTGCCATCTGCTAACATACCCTTGATAGCTAGCTAGCTTTTGTTGCGCCATTAGCTGAAGTACAAATTTATTGCCAGTTGGCTGAGCGGCGTTCGTACGTTTGCATAAAGATGCACGTCTTTAATTTCAATCACAATTGTCTTTAAAAAGTGTTAAGTTTGTGGAACCCTGCAACAAATGGCGACACTTTTTCACTCTGTCTCTAACAGCTACTCGTATATATATTCCACATTGACAAAAGACAAGACAGCAATAACATTGTGAAAAGTTGTGATAGAACAATTAATACCATAATAAAGATGACATAGCAAAGGAGTGGAAAAAAAAATACCGTCTGAACTAAGTCCATGCAGTCCAGTACATAATGATTTTTTTGGGGGGGGGTTTTACTGGTATGAAAGTGTACAGCAAGTTCAAAAGGGCAGATCTCCAAGTAAATCGCTGTATAAATAAGGGCATAACCAGGCTCCACAGTTCTCATTTCTTCCCCTAATCTTTTGGATAAATGTGCTTTATGTGGGCTAAAGCAGCTTTTGAAAGTTGAAATGGCTCAGCTTGGATGTACTTTTATAACTGAAATAAGTATATGACTCACAGATAAACATCTGCTTTAAACAGCAAGTGGGGCAATTATTACCAATTTTTGGGTACTTTTTGCCTGAAAACAAAAAAAGTTAGTGTCTCCACAAAAACACTGGGTGCATTACTGTCAGCTGGGAGATGACCTGGAGAGAAGTGATGATGTAGCAGACTGGTTTACATATTAAAGGGGAAAGCATTTGGGCTTGCAGAAGGTGGTCAGAGGAAACCTGAGTATTCAGAGGTTTGTTATAAACCACGTATGATTGAAGTTAATGAGCAACAAATGGAATGTGGACTAATAAAACCAGATCAGAGATCTAAACCATATCATTTTTGTTCCATACAGAATAAGAATTTTCGGTAACACTTTATTTGAAGGGGGTTGAATAAGACTGACATGACACTTTCATAAACATGACATAACACCTGTCATGAACATGAACAAGCCTTCATGAATATTTATGACTGTTGTCATAAAGTGTCATTCGGTAAATTATGACACTTTTAATACAAAGTTGACATTATTCAAAATGTCTTTATGACAACTTGACATTAACCAATAAATCATTACTGTTTAAACTTTACCTTTAATAACATAAAGTTACCTAATTTTTAAAGTGAAATCAGTAATACTTTTATAACAAATTTATATCAAGTTGTCATAACAAAGACATTTTGAATAATGTCAACTTTGTATTAAAAGTGTCATAATTTACCGAATGATGCTTTATGACAACAGTCATAAATATACATGAAGGCTTATTCATGTTCATGACAGGTGTTTATGACAGTGTCATGTCAGTCTTATTCAACCCCCTTCAAATAAAGTGTTACCGAATTTTCTTTCTTCCTATTCATCAGCTCCATAAATAACACACTTTTCAGTAGAGAGTATTCATACAGTGCTCAGGAAAAGTTAAGGGTTATTCAGCTTTCAGGCGAAATTTCAGGATGAAGACTTTACAGCAGGGGTGCCCAAAGTCGGTCCTGGACGGCCGGCATCCTGCATATTTTATTCTCTCCCTGGTTTACCCCACCTGGATCCAACGATGGCTCATTAGAGGCCTAAGAGGAACACTGACATACTGAAAAGGTTAATACTACCACCAGGGAGGGAACTAAAACACGCAGGATGCCGGCCCTCGAGGACAAACTTTGGGCACCCCTGCTTTACAGGTAAACCTGATGTGACCTATTTTTTGAATGCACTCACAAATTAGCAATACTTTTGCACAACTCACCGTTCTGAATACAACCAAGATACCGAACATTTAAAAGGGGCAGTATTATGTATTTTCCAGGTACACAGTGACATTTTATAGCATAACCAATTAACTATGTTATCTCCAGTTGTTATAAAAATGCTGCATATCAAATATGACAGAAATTTGACTTCGTACTTTAGTGTCTTGAAATTGGGCCTCTGTCTCTTTAAGAAGCTGCTTGTCATGATGTGGTGAGGTTGTGGTAGTGAGGGAGGATGCAGATACCCAGATGAGAGGTGATGAAGATGAGTTTAATGAGTAGTAGCCCAGAACAGTCCAGTTCAGGCAGCATAGCAGAAAACTAGCAACAGGTAAATACCGGTAGCAACTGCAAATACAAGACTGACGGCGAGAGCTGAGTAGACACAGGACTTCACAGTGCGACTGTGTGCAACTACTGGCAAACGACAAGGACAAAGACAACAGGTGGGCTTAAATACACAGAAGGTAATCAGGGAACCAGACACAGCTGGGAACAATCAACAGGGAGGACAGGACAGAGACTCACTGGGAAACAGGACTAAACAGAAAATCTCAAAATAACTACACAGAAAAACACGGATCACAACACTGCTACTCTTTCTGAACAGGGGTGCGGTAAAGGGGGGGAAATGATGACAATTCTAGGAGCTCTGACCAACAGGGGACCCTCCACAATTTAATTATTTATTTTTTGTTCATAGAAATAAAATAAAAAATTGGGGCCCTATCAATTACAAATATTACAAATATTGTGCTAATTATCAATATTGAACCAAAGAAAGCAAGGGAGATGCAAGCCTTTAAACTTGTGGTGCTTTTTATGGGTCAAATAGACTCAAAAAATTATAAAAGTAGCTGCGAGGGGGGGGGATGAGAGGCCAAAACACATATTTTGTCAGGGGGCCCAAGATTTGTGGCAACGCCCCTGTTTCTGAAGCTCTGCCTTCAGGAAGTCATCACAACATGGCTCCTCTAATAACCCTTTAAAGAGGCAGCAGAATTTGAATTTGATATTTTTAATGAGACGAAGCAAATACGAGGCTGGCGACTCGTTAATGATGACACACAGCTTGCAAATAAGTGTGAATAAAATGTATTAGTGTTGACGCTAAGGCAGCGCTAGGAGTAATTACAACGATGTCATTCGTGCTTTTGAAGCTAATAGAAAGTCTGTCTCACTCAACAAGCTGTAAATAAACTTAGAGAAGATTTGTGAAGCGAGCAGACAGACATCAGAGTTATGCATGTCGATTTAAACCAGTATTGTGCTTGCCCTGACCTGTTGATCACGAGAAATTCTTTCAGATTAGTACCTGGAAAAGCAGAAGACAGTTCTAACTGTGTGAGTTTTCTTCAGCATTTGGGAATGTGTCCAAAGGCAGAAGCCCTGAGGTTGTGTGTGGGTGGTGATAAAAGACAGAAAGCTATCTGAACACATCACCCACGGCTGTTTTTTTTTCTCTGTCATTTCCTACATTATGCAATCAGCTGATTAAATTTGAAGCAACCGTCTTACTGTGAAGACATATGCAACATGGATAATAATGAATCCATTGTTCACAATACATGCTAATTTAGGAGGGTAATGCTTTCTATACTCTTGCAACTGTTCACGGTGTAATGTGTCACCTTCAGCTGCTGCACCAACTTGGCACCCATCTCACCCCTGTCGCACCTCTGTGCACCGCACGTAGATCTCTGCATTTAGCTTGACCCGGAGCCTGGTGTGAATTCACAGCCTGATTCACACAAAATCAGGCTCCTCTGAGTCAGTGAGTTCTAAGAAGACTTTCAGTTATGCCTTTGCCTTCAGGCCTCAACAGAAAGTTGGATTTCACTTCTGAAGTGGCAAGTCAGAAGCTCCTGCGAATCAGTGAGTGAGTCAAGTCAGGAATTTTGGCAAAGATGTCTGTATTGTTCAGTCTCTTGAAATTCCTCTGAAGCTGTTTTCTTGTCAGACAGTTTTCTTGGTTGTGCCTTATGTTTCTATTAAACAGAAGATAAAGCATTTCATCTTTAAGCTGCGCCCGACTTCACCTCAGCATGGCATTTTCCAAAGGCAGGAGGAGGGATTATGAGACAGACATCTATCTATCGACGGATATCATTTTGAACCATCTGTAAATAAACAAGGGAATTTTCTTTTCCATCCGGGGTTTCTGTTGCAGTCGTAGACAAAACGTTAAATTACAGAGCATGATACCTGCTTGTTAACTCCACTTTGTGGCAGTTACAACAGATAAATGCAGGTCTACCTGAGAGTTGCTCAGTTGTACTGCAGCTGATGTAATTTCCCATGAAAGAGTACTGATGTATGACACTGTCAGGATAAATTATTAAGAATGTTGGGTTTTTTTGCCTGTTTGAATTCCTTCATATGGTATTTCCAAACAACTTTTAAAAAGGTGTCTATCACACACTCTAATCTAAGTTATGATTTTTTTTTTTTGCAGTTGCAGGTTGGTACTTACAGTTATATTTCATAAATTAAAATATACCTCCTAGAAATATATGTATCTTTTAGCAGGAATTAAAGATGCTTTTCTTTAAAATTTCTGTTTTTAAAAGAGTTTTTTATTGGTCTGATGTAATATGTTAATTTTAAATGTCATGTTGTCATGAAATGTAAGCAAAAATTCACCTTAATTAACAGAAATAAAGGCTTTCAAACATCCATTTGAGTATAATTTATCTATGTAATTTATTTCACTCAGCAATAAAGTTTCTGAATTAATTGGGCATTTCAATAATATTCTACTTATGGACTGGGTCTGTATAACCAGGAAGTGCAAATCAACTTTGATTCTTCCATATGTGCAACGCTGAGGTCAGACACTGTTGTAGGACCAGGTGATCCTACTCCCAGTTTCCTCTTTTATTCATCCTACAGGTGATTTATTAGCATCGCTGTGCATGAATGTGTTCATTCTCAGGTTGTCCAGGCCAAATTGAATCAGGAGTAAATGGGAGAGTTACAGTTTTTCAGGAACGGATATTTAATAAACAAATGAGTCAAACATTTTCGCTCAACGCTAGCTTGTTTAGCTCATCTGTGTCTCTTTGTGTGTGTGTGTGTGTGTGTGTGTGTGTGTGTGTGTGTGTGTGTGTGTGTGTGTGTGTGTGTGTGTGTGTGAAGGCATCGATTTAAGAAAAGAAAAGGAAAAAAAACAGGCATTTTCAACGTCATCTTTCAGTGTCTGCCAGGTGTTCAGTATCATTGTGTGTTTTGGACTGTAGCACAAACGTCTCAGTGACACAATAAAAACTCATGCCAATTCTCATCTGTGGTGGTGCAACACTAACAAGAGGGTTAGAAGTGACTTCATTTTCCAACGCAGTCTAAATGATCTGCTTTTAACTTTTCATCCCCCCAAATCCCTGAATTTATATCCAATTGTGCAAAAAGAAAAGCCGATAGTACTTGTGTTTCTGCTGCCAATCAGATGGTAATTTTAATTGATTCATTTAAAATGACAAATTTTAATATTGCAAACAGGGTAAAGAGTAAATTTAGGGATGATGCTAATTAGATACACCAGTCCATGAAGGAATATGTCAGAGTCATTGTACCGTTTGATGACAAATATATTAACACGTTATAATATACATACCTATAATCGATATTGTCACCTTCTTTAAAAATATGTGGCCTAAAGTATTTTCTTCCAAAAGTGATTTTGGCAAAAAAAAAAAAAAGAAAAGAAAAAAATCACCATCTCTTTCTTTCCAAGATATGCTTTAGGCAAGAAATATTTATTTTTGAGGGGGCAAAAAATGACTTGGGCTATTATTTTGGGAAGGTGACGATATGGTAATTGGTAAGCATCTCGTCATTTTTTTCTCTAGAATGTACACACTTTAAACATCATCCTCTTCTTTTAGCAGCTGTGGATGCAAAAATCCACAGGAGTGAAACTCTTAACTCCCCCCGGCTCCCAGAAAAATAAAAACGAGGTAAATCATTCATTCTCCAGAACAACATCCTCCTCCTGCTGCTCTCTTTAAAGGCTGTTTTTGTTGGCTCTGCCCTCAACTGAAACATCTCCCTCATCAGGTTGGGTGAGTTTCTGCTGCCGCTCTTCTAATTAAAACGCATAACTGAAAAATAAAATAAAATAAAATACATAGCTACTCTTTGATCCCACCAGCATGGCAGAGGGTCTCACATTCTTTCTCCTGAAAGTGGCTTAGGGTGCTCCTTTATATACGGTCAGGTTTGACCTTTGACCTGAATAATAAGCAGCATTCTCCACATCCCAACCTTCTCTTTCTCTCTCACTCTCTTATCTCTCACTATCTATATCTCTCTCTCTCCCTCCCCGTCCGTTTATCTTTGTTTTGTTCCACTCACTGGAATTACATGTCGGAGTCATTCACTCATTCCAGTGCGGTGAGTACGCTTAATACTTTCTCTGTTTTATTTGCTTTTATTTGCTTCTGCTCTTATTCACTTTCGGTGTTGCTGTCGCTAATTTGTACAGTTTATACACACGCTCCATTTTAATAACTTGTGTATTCACTAGCTGTCATTTATTGCACAACAAGAATCCAGTAGGTGTGATCTGGTGTTTTAATGCTCCACAAATGATCCATTCCAGCAGGTTTAAGAGCTGACATCATATTAATTATGCAGTTTAAGTTTGTCAGCGTTTTCTTTTTATCTTATTATTGGCGTCAGCTGTTTTTAACTTCTCCTCAAACACCCACAGTTTTAGCCAAAAGTGCAGTAATTGCATTCTTCCTATTTAGACCTCTCTGTTTACTTAGTGTATGTTTTAAGAGAAAGCATCTCCATGCATTGATCTGTTATGACAACTGTCTTTTATGTAAGGATAGATGCAACAAAGTTGGATTTTTATGATGGAAGAGTGGAAATTCCCACATAAACCATAAACCCCTGCCATAAACCTAATTGGTGTTAATGATAGCTGGAGGTATTTGCTATGAGTGTCTTTGGGGAGTTTATGTGCTTTTCTGAGCGATAAATCTAAGTGAAATGTTTAGCTAGGTCACATAAACATCACTCCTGCAACAATATCTTAGCAAGCATCATAAAAGGAAAACTTTTAAGAGCAAAGGGATTATGTGTGACGTATGGAGGTCACAGCAGCTGATAAAAATCAAAGATGAACTTAACACAAAGCAGTGCCGTGTGTGAAAATGTAACCAACATGTGTGTGTAAGGTAGCAGTCTGAAGCCCTTTTTCTGTTTTGGATCTTTAATGACATACAGATAAAAAAAATTGTTTACTGTTGAGCAAGTAAAGTCAAATATATATAATTTAGCAGTTTTAATTTAATGACTTTTGTGTCACATCGGTAGCTTGAATTTGCCAGTTTGGGCAAAAAGTTTGAACACCACTGATGTAGAGGAAAGAAACCATATCGTTTCATGCAATATTGGGATGAAACCAGGTGGTGGCTGCATCATGCTGTGGGAATTTGTTTCTTCCGCTGGGAGGGGTGGAGTCGATTGGAAGATTTTTGGGTTCGATCCAGGGCAAAGCTGGATGAAAACCTCCCAGAGACTGCAAATGACTTGGGTTAAAATGGTCCAGTCAAAGTCCAGATCAAAATCCAGTTAAAAATCATTGGAAAGCATAAATATTGTTGTTTATAGATATTCTCCAGCCAGTCTTACTTAAATTGAAGTATTTCACTGAAAGGAGAGAGGAGACATTTCAGACTCTAGGACTGACCACTTCAGACTTGCAGCTGTAACCGAACCAAAAGTTAACTGTATAATAAATGGCAATACTTTGAAAAAGTTTTCTTTTTTTTCAATCTAGTTTATTCAACAATAACGCACTCCTTTGTGATTTTCTATTAGAAAAAGAAAAAAAAAATGACACTAAAATATGTTGTGGTCTGTGTTCAGGACATGATACAATGTACAAAAGGTCCAGAGTGTAAAAAATATCCAAAGTATTCAAATCAAGTTGTGATGAAGATCGACTTTCATTTCCTTGAAAAAGCGAGCCACTTTGAAAACTGGAAGAATGACTCCAAGAGGAAGTTAAGAGGATACAAAAACTAAGAGTCATTATTCTGTTTTCTTTTGTTGCTGCTGTAAATCTTTGCCAAACTCTGAATCAGGCTTTGAGAGGGAACATTTTTTAAATGTTTGGTCAGATGCCAACCAGCTGCCAGGACTTGTCTGTCTTTCTGACGGCTCCTCTGCGACCTCTGCACCACGACAGGACTTCGAACTTTTAGTTTAATTTTTACCCCCAAAGTAATGATATGCCAGCAGATTAAAACTTGATGTAATGAAGGCTAAGGTTCAGAGAGAGTGATTTCTGAAATAGTTGATAAGTTTGTCTTTAGATGTGCTGCATGTATAGATTTGTTGCAAACACCTTTTGAGTGGCTGAAACTTACGGTCACATTTAAGTACACAAAATCTAACCAAGTATTTTTGTCTAGTTTCTAGTGCAAATATCTTTTTACACTTAAAATAAGACAAAACTAACTTCTAACTAACATTTGAGCTTGTTTTAAGTTAATAATTCTGTAATATTGATTTAAGAAGTACTAGTTCCACTGGCAGATCATTTCACTTATAACAGGAAAAAAAGTCTTATAAGAGAAAAAAATCTGCCAGTGGAACTAGTACTTTTTCATCATTATTAAGGAATTATTGACTTAAAAAGGTTACTTTTAAGTTAGTTTTGTCTTATTTTAAGTGTGCTAAATTATTTGCACAAGAAGCTAGACAAAAAATACCCAGTAAGATTTTGTGGTTTTGCAGACCATATTAAAACTTAAGCAATAATACCCTTGAATAAAATAAAGAAAGCAGAAAAAACTCAGTATTTAAAACACTGTGATACTTACTATCAAGTTAAACATTCTATTTGTTTTTAATACTGATGTTTTCCCTGGGATAAATCTTTGTATTTTTGCCCTAATAAGTAATTATCAAACAGTTGCCGGAAACATAGCAAGAGGAAACGCAAGTGAAAGAAAATGCATCGTTTGATTTTCATATCTGTTTCATGGTTCATATTAAATTTCTTCTTCTTCGGAAAATCCAACTGAAGGAAATTAAAAGTGTTCAGAGGGGCCAAATTGGTAAAAGTTGTTCCTTGCTAACATGTCTTTCGAATTTGGACATAATGTTGTCCCATCCCTTGATCAATGTGTTACAATTGTGTGGAAAGATGAGCACAGAGAAAACTTTACAGACCCCTAAAAGATCTACTTCCTTAGATCACTTGTTGGCATTCGGTACAGTCTGTCTTTTTTGAAGCACTAGCTAAATGATGTAGCTTTTAGCTACTCTTATTTGACTGGTTAAAATATTACATTTGCCTTCTACTACCTTAAATTTTGCACTTTAAACCAACAAACCAAGCAGTATTAACAAGATGATCTGTGGTTTCTGCTAGTCAAATGAAAAACTTTTAAACTTTTGAAAAAATATAAATTTTAGCTAGTTAGCTTAGCTTCCAATCAACTGTTTTTAAGCTCACATTAAAAAGAGTCATTATGAAGAACGTTCATCGTCTTTCAATATTAAGAGTTCTAAAAGTCAGAGTATAAGACTAAATTGGTCTTTATCACACTGTAAAATTATTCAAATTAAACTGGAAAACACAACAGATTTCTCCTTGGCATTAGCCTATCAAGCAACAGTAAGACCTGGAGAGTATTTCCAACAAATTGGAAATACAAAAATAAATCTGCTTAATGGAAACAGGGCAAATTCTGAAAAAATAAAGAACTCACATTTTTGCACTAGGATGAAGTGGTCTTTTGGCTGCATCAAAATGTTTTTTTTATTATTATTTATTACATAAGCAATCTTATTTATGTGTGATTTTAACTACATTTCTTGTTTAATGGAAACACCACAATTGTGAACTTGTGTTTTTTCAACATTTTTATGCCAATATGTCCTGTTTTCTCCAGTCGTTCAAGGCAAAGGCATTCAAAGATGTCCTCCCTTTGGATAAGTTTGAGTCTGTTGTATCTCCTACAAGACAGCGTTTCATCAGATGCAGGTAATATGCTTTATTTTATTTCTGATACTTGAAGAGTTTAACAAGAATAGCTAATCAAAATGTAATAATAATAATAATAATAATAATAATAATAATAATAATAATAATAGAATTAATGCATTCTCTCATTTTGCTATTTGTCTTTGTTTAGTGGTGTCGCTGACTTGCCCAGAGACAAAACCAGTCCAAACCGGTGCAACAGTTACAGTAAACTGTTCAATAAAATGGAAAACTAACCAGAGCTGTACCGTTACAAATTCCTTTATTCACACAAATGGCACCATCACTACATGTGGAATTACCTCAGGAATGTACAGTTGTGGCTGGGATAACTCCAATGTGAACCTGACGATCGTTGAAGTAAAAGAGGACAATATCACAGTTGAGATTCACTCTAACTGTGGTTTGGCTTCTGATCTTATCCAGGTGCATGTCGACGGTGAGTTACTTTCGGCATCTAAAAGTGTTTTCTGTTCAGACATGAGAGCAAATTGTATTAAAATATGTATTCACTTTTCTTTTCAGATATTCTACTCACAACACCAAAGTCACCACTTGAGATCAACCAAGAAAAAGAGGCCCAGCCCTATCTGATTCCCAGCATACTGGGTGTTTTTGCAATCATTGTTGTTGTGACCATTGTGTTTATTATTAAATATTGTACAAGGAAATCACAGCAGAATGACACAACACAAGGATGCTCAGAAATCCTTTTGAAATCTCCATAAGAAATGAAAGAGAGTTTTCGTCCTTTCATTCTTACAGAACTCTTTTGGACGGACATTGGTCAGATGGTGGCACGTTCACTGATCTGAAACCGGGACTATTAACTCTTTGTGAGTCAATTAATAAAGCTGCTGCTGGTGGCAGCTTTGTGTACATGTATTGTGTACATATCTGTGTGTACAGGCTCTTTATCCATAGAGTGATTGAGTGCTGCCTTGCTGCTATGACCAAATTTAACACGGTTAAGTGTTAATGTTTTGTATATGCATACTGCATTTGTTGTAAATGAAAGATATTCCTCATTATACTGTTTTTATTATGAATTAATCTACTACTTCCTTTCAACAAGGGCCATTTACCGTCTTGAGACACACATTCATTTATTCAGTTTTCTTAAGGTGATTCACACTAATGACCCACATTAAAATCTAAATCTATTCACGTTTGATAGCTACTTTCACATGGCATAGTTGACTTATATCAATTTATGGTGTACATTGAAATCCCATTACATTAACCTTTTCTGGAGGATGTAGAGATCAGTTGGGAGGGGAGTACCACCTGGCACTTTCCTTGATACCAAAGAAATATGAAGTTTGCAATAATGACCAAACATCAGTTTGCATCCAGTTTCTATGGTAACCAGTGTTGGGTAGGTTAGATTAAATAATTAACTGGTTCCCAGAAGAAATGACCAAAATTCAAGTATATCAGTGGAGACATTTAATTAATTACATTTGTTTATTTTTGGGGTCTGTTATAGGCGAGGGGGGCACTTCTACAGTAACTTCTACAGTTCTGCAATGATATGTAGAGATGGGAGCTTCGATTAGACTAAAAACTTCAGGATGTATTTTTATCAACGAGACATTCACACGTCTTGAAAAGACTTATTTATCTTGAAGAAGCCAGTTTGGGATAACTCACATTAATGATGGCTGGGAGGATGCAAATCATTAGACTTTCTTTTTTACAACACATCTATTCAATGTAAAACTGTATTCAATCAATTCTGCTTCCATAGTGTTTTTGTGCATGACATCATGACGAGGTCTGATAAAAGAACAAGAGCTAATTCGTGTTGGAGCTGTGAACTCCGATCAAAATGTTGAACTGTGAACATGAATCAGTTCATTTTAACCTGAGGGAACTTCATTCAGAACCAGACCTTTAGAAGGATGAACTGGGAATAAACTCAGCACAACAATGACACAAATACCATTTATTTCAGCGGTCTGAGTATGACATCATTCCACGTCTAAGTCAAGGAAGCATTGGGATTTGCTAACAGTTAGCATTGGGATTGTGTATTGCTTACTAATATGCAATACACACCAATATCAATGTATTTCTGTTTTTTTTTTATTAAATGAAACACTAGTGTTGTTACTTTGTGTAAACATCACTAAAGTTATTGTGTCTATGATGAATTTGTAAAAAAAAAATTGAAATGTAAATAAACAGTTTTGATAACTTTTGCTATCCAGCAGCCATATTGTTTTTTTTTTTTTTTTTTTTTTGAGCAGTTTCCAAAGTAAGAAATCGAACTTGGTTGACATATTTTTACAAGTGCCATAGAAATCCCCCTATGAATTCTCCTTAATCGATTTTCACTCGTTTTCCAGTTTTTAACAAGAAAAGTTTGAAGTGATTCCCAGAAAGAGCTTGATTCCCTCCAATCTGTGTCAGACTGATGAGCTGAGAGGAACTTAAGATAACAACAACAGAGAGCTAATCTGATCATCTCACTACTCCCAACTTCATTTTGTTTCATTTTTATCTCAGAGGTTTATATTTTGAGGTTTATATATTCATTGATTAACTTTAAAACAAAACCACATCAGCTGATACAAATACCTCCCTCATAAAAGTAGTGCATCTCTTTTGATTTGGTTGCTAAGGCAACAGAAATGTGCTAAGCTAAATTGTACTCAAGTGGTTTTGAAATTCAAGTACTCTCTTTATTTTCCATATTTCTCCATCTTCAAGTAAGTCAATCATTCAAAGACAATCGGCACATCTGTTGCAAAGCTGAAAATTAGTTTCGCAAACAAAACGTCACCCAGCAGCAGTATGATTTATGAAGGCACAAGTCAGGGCAGGTATGATGTGGCATCCAAGATGAGGTGTGACATCCTCACGCATCGTTATGCAGCAAAAGCAAATTTTTACGAGCTTTATTGCATCTAAACTTAGCATTGTCACTCCTTTGGATTTACAAAGGCGGTTGGTCCCAATCAGGACATTTAAACGTCAGAGAAAAATGCAAAACTAGTCACTTTACATAAATACTAGAGTTAACCGCAACAACATTCAAGATTTAAATTTGTAAGCATTAAATTATTTTCTAAAATGCCGTGTTAGTTTTATGCCAGATGTAACAAGAGTTGTACATCTTTCAGGATGCTTCACCAATCAGTTGCGTTTACCTCTGACCCAATGGGTGTCATTTCCTATTGTTGGCTCATGACCCCTGACCTCAACTTAACATTTAGAAAGTGTTCTTGGTTGTTTTTTCACCTCATATGTACATAAAGCAGAAGCAGAACCCACCTGGAGGGACTTTATAATTATCTCTAGTAGACATTACAGCGGAAACAAGTGCATACCAAAAGTTTCCACTGTAGGAAACAGCTTGGTCATTCAGACGTACGTGGATGTAGTAAAAAGGAAAGCAAAAGCAAAAAGAAAGAAAAAAAACCCTAAGCAGGGCAGAACAAGGAAAAGAAACAAGCGAAAAAACAATAATTATCATGATCTGGCGATGAACAAATGAATACAAGCAGGTAGCAATTTGTAAATGAGGCCAGGCGTGACAAAGCTGCATGAAGTTATCAAGAAAGACAAGTTTTACCAAAGCCTTTGCATTCTGACGCAAGATGTAGAGCAGCTAGAATAAACTGGAATGACACATGATAAATGTAATTGTGACACAACTCAGACAGCACCAGTTAAACGTACATAAAGATGAAACAAACCAGAACATAAAACTGCAGATGTTGGCATGCTAACAGGCCGCTAAGGCATAACAAGCTAATTTCTCAATATATAGTGAGATTTGATGCTAAAAGAAGACGCATATATAATTCATTACCTTCAGGAAGGAAGTGCCATTCCCTTTACAGATCTAGAAGACACGTATCCAACCAGAGACCTGTTCTACTGGAGCTCTCTTCGGGTCAAAGGTCATCTTCACTTTAGGCCCAAAAGTGCTGAGGATGGGGAGTTGTATGGAAATAAATATTCTGTGCGATCTTCTGCTTTTTACTTATTAACAGCACAGTAAAACATCATCAGTGTAATTTATTTTGACTCTATGGTGTGTTGATATTTTCTGGTCTGATGGATGTGGCTTACAACACAATTTGACCCGATGCAGTCTTTCTCAGCTGTGTAATGTGACGCTTCTATAAGTACAGCTCTGATTGGTTTATCAGTCCCTGATGATGACTCCTCCTCCTGAACCACTGAGAGCTGTGATTGGTTCAGGGAGAGGAGACTGAGCAAGCCCATCAATGGACTTGGCTCAACTGGTCACCCTGTTGGATTCAGTGGCCACAAACAGTTTTGTTTGCATCTTAAAGGTGCGGTAGGTTTAGTGTGATTTCCAGGCACACAGTGTCCTTTTATACCACAATCAAATGACTATGTTACCTTTAGTTGGTACAAAAATGTTGTATAAATCAGATATGATCTAAAAGACATTTGACTTGGTAATTTAACGTCCTGAAATTAGAAATTGGGCCTCTGTTATTTGTGACATTACAAGCAAAGGGGTTTTGAGACAGGTTTTTCAGACACCAAAAAGACATTTCATTTATTGCCAAAAACTAGCTGGGTGTTTTTTTTTTTAAGTCCTTGTGCTGTTTTTGAAGAACTATAAACTCAAATGGAAGTACGAAAACACGCAAAATTTTTATTTTGTATAATAGGTCCCCTTTAAATAGTTGTAACACGTTTAATCCCACTGGTAACAATTGTTGGCAGACATTTTTTTCTAACTTCTGGAAGCTCTAAAAGAATTGCTTTGACTTTTGGCAGCTAATTGAAGTTTTAAAAATAAAACAATAGAGTGTCTACTCTAAGCAATATCAAGTTCATGCATCTAGTGTGAAAAGTCACATGACCAGACCTGTTTACTTGGAAGTATACTGATGTAAACTGATGTGATGCTGGAGGTAAACATCAGTCACAAACCTGTACAAGAGGAAGTCATTAAAATATTTAAATAAACAAATATGAATAAAATATTTTGTACAAATGTTCTTTCAAGTGTCTTCTGATACTGATATGTAAAGAAAATTGTATCCCTTCATTCATCTTTGGATCATAAGAAAAGTGAATGTTAAGCGTGGCAACAATTGTTGCCCCTGGCAGAATACATAGACATCACTCTGCTATGTGTCAATTGTTTTCCTGTTTATTCTCTAAGCCTTTCTGTTCACACACAGCTTATGCTCAGATGTTTTAGATCAGTGTTTCTCAACCCCAGACCTCACCGCATCCCTTCCCTGCTCTGCATGTTTTAGATGTACCTCTATTCCAGAACAGCTGATTCAAATGACTGAATGACCACCAAGTACTGCAGAAACCCAGAGATACAATTCATGTGTGTGGCAGAAGGGAAATACATAAAACGTGCAGGACAGGGGGGCGGTGAGGATCAGGGTTGAGAAACACTGTTTTAGATCTTCTAGACATGAAGGAACCTCAAAATGATGTCTAATACATCACTGTCATTCCAAGAGTTGAACTCTTCCCAACCCCACCACCACACCAGGGAACAAGAGACACAGGTGGGAGTGTGTTAACTAAATTAACACACAGAAAACCAAAACCTCACAGTATCGTCTAGCGGTATTAAAAGTTAACACAGAAGAAAATAGCATGGAATGTATTAACAGCAAAAGCATCATCTGGCTTATTGTCTTTGTTTCCAAAAGAACAGCAATGTTCAAAAATAATGCGTAGTGCAAGAAATGAAATGAAATGACAACATATAGAACAACTTGAGGAAACTGAATAAAAATAAAATTGTGCAAAAACAGACAAAACTAAAACAACAAAATATTAAGGAAATACAATTACTGTTTCAGCAGTTGCCCCTATGTTGACCTAATCCTGTTGTCAATTGGTTGCTAATGTTGATTTGTAAAATCTTCTCAAAGATTTTGAGAATTTGTGAGAAAATAATGAGCAGAAAAAGCAATGAACTGCATCTATAATTCTTGAATAAGTCGGTGAGTTCCACCTTGACTTTTGCCCTGCAGACTAGTGATAGTCTGTATCACTATTCTGCAGGGATACATGGTGATAGTGAAAACTTCAACCATCGTGCCTTTTGGAGTAGGAAAAGTTCTCCTTAAAAGGCAGCGGTCCTCTGATTTTCTTTTAACTTACCAGTTAGATAAGTATGAGTTGCAGACACAGAGGAAACAGCAGGTACAGAGGATTGGAGTCCCAGACTTGGCTCTGTGGAGGATGGAGATGGAAGGAATACATTAACACATATTCATGACATACTTTGATTAAATTAATAGATAAAAACTAAATATATAATAGGTGAGTGTTTCTCTCACATGATGCATTAGCTGAGCCTAAGAATGTGGACTGGTGTTCTGACTCCAAACAATTTTGTCAGTGCTCCTAGAGAAGTTTCACGTAACTTATAAGTCTATGTAAAAATAATGTTTGTAAATTATCATGCTCACAGCAAACAATATAGCTCCAACTATTGCATAGTAGCTCATCGATATATCAAGGTAGTTAGCCTGATGAAAAAGCATTTTGCTAGCAAGCCATACATTGAGAAGTTTTAATTAGCAAAATCGTCCCTATGAAGACAAAACATAAAAAAAAAATGTATGAGGTCAACCACGAGAATCAACTCATTTAAATCTAAAACTCCGTTTCACACAAATACAAAGAGGCTAGCATAAATTTTTGGCTGGTTAAATGAACAGTACATGATCGATATCAAGCTATTTTCCATTAGCAGCTACACAAATCTTTTTTGATAAACATTACATTACCAAGAGACATGCAAATATACC